TACTTTCTCATCTCGCCTAATATCCTTATTCAAACCTTCCAACACCAATAAATACAGCAGGGGAGATAAGAGACCTCCTTGTCTCATGGTCACTGCTTTTCTTGCCTGAGTACTTTTGAAAAGTACCTTACTTTTCTCAGCAATAAATTGCATTCTGTTGAAGAGGGCCCAGTGTTCAAGTCTGTCAGGATTCTTCTGGCTCTTGAGCCTATCTTCTAAAGCAGACATGTCAAACACAAGGCCCGGGAGCCGGATGCAGCCCACGAAGTGGTTTCATGTGGCCCGCAAAGCCATCCTGGAAACAGTGAGGGAACGGCCTCTGCTGCCTTGGCCCTGGCCCAGGCTGGCCGAGAGCCAATGTACAATTTTGTGGTGGCCATCTATGCTGAAACGTATTCAGTCTTAGCTCCACAAAGCCGTCTAGAAACAGCGAGGAACCAGCCCCTGCTGCATCGGCCATGCCCCCAGGGTGCATGCTGGGGAGGTGTCACCCTTTGTGAGGAATGAAGAAATGGACCATGCCTTGGTGCTTGCCCCAGTCCCACGCCCTTCTGCCAGAGACCCTCAGATCTGTCCCACTCCTACCCAGGCCCCCACAGGCACCCTTGATGCAAATGAGCTGGCCATGCCCACCCAGTAGGCCACACCCACTCCATCCACGCCCACCCAGTAGGCCGCACCCACCCAGCCCCCCGAGGGCAACCACAATGCTGATGCGGCCCTCAATGAAATTGAGTTTGACACACCTGTTCTAAAGTGTTGGCTATTCCCCCTAATTTGATGTCATCTGCAAATTGGATGAATTCGTCTTCTGTCCCTTCATTCATATCAGTTATGAAGATGTTGAAGAGTATTAGGCCTAAGACTGAACCTTGTTGGAGTACCTGCTTCACTCCATGTAGATGCAATTCCAGAATGCAATAAGATTTGTTTGGCATGATCTGTTTTTGAGAAACCCATAAAAGCTTCTAGTAATAGCTTTGCTTGTTTCTAAGTGTTTTCAGATCAAATGCTTGATTATCTTTTCCAGGAACTTATCAGGTATTGATGTCAGGCAGATTAGCCTGTATATTTCCTGGATCCCCCCCCCCCCTTATTTTGAAGATGACCATCACATCAGCTCTTTTCTGGGCCTCTAATAGTTCCCTGTTGATCCAAGATCTTTGAAGGATATTTTTCAGTGGTTCCAAGATACAGCTGCCAGCTCCTTCAGAACCCTGGGATGTAATCCATCTGATCCTGGTGATCTGAATTGATCTATAGAGTAGATTCGTGTTCTCTAACTATTTTGTTGCCTATTTTTATTTGTATTCCTATTTTGTCTTTTATGGTTCTTCTTTTGATAAGTTGGACTATTTATTTCCTTTTGATGCAAAGTATCAATTAAGCAGTTACATTTTCTCCCTGCTATCTATCATCTTCTTGCCATCTTCTCATATTAGTGAACTGATTATTTCCTTGGCTTTTTTCTTGGTTTTTTTTACATTTTGAAAGAAGCTTTTTAAACTTATTGTTGACATTTGTTGCACATCTTAGTTCTTTCTGAGCCTTAGCTTTCCTGACTTTGTTTTTGCTATATTGAGCTATTTGTTGGTATTCTGCTTTAGTAATGTGTCCCTGTTTCCATTTTTTATGCTTGTCCGTTTTGTCTCTCAGTTTATCAAAGAGTTGTTTATACAACCATGCTGCTTTCATCTGGGATCCCTTATTTTTCTTTCTCAATGGTATTGTGCTAGACTGGGCTTTTATAATCCCATTTTTCAGAGTTCCCCAAGCTTTTTGAGTTGTTTTCCCCTTTAGGATTTCCATCCATGGAATCTTTCCTAATTTTTTTTTTAAACAAATTTTATTGGTTTTTTTATTCTTAAAACAAAGTGCTTAAGACACACTGTGGTGCTGGGGTAAACAAACATCCAGAAATAAAACCATATATGAATAACTCAAATCAATACATTAAATATTCCCTCTCTATTTCCCTCAATTAACCTAATACATTTAAGATAATCCATTTCTAATTTAAATTTCTAAAAATCCTAAACCTGTTTTAGAGCTTTGTGAATTTACAATTAGCATAATCAAATTTGACTTTAAAGAAACAGATTATC